CAACAAAACGATATTGAACATATTGAAAAAGAAGCTCGAAGAAGCTAAAGGGCTATGGCCCGAATTACTACCTGAAGTATTATGGGCATACCGGACTACGCCCAAATCCAGCACGGGAGAAACACCGTACTCACTGGTCTACGGGATCGATGCAGTCATACCCGTCGAGATCGGAGAACCAAGCCTGAGATATTCCCATACCAGCGGAGCAGATAACGACGAAAGCAGGTTACAAGATCTAGACGAAGCCGAAGAACGAAGAGACATGGCCCATATAAGAATGACAGCCCAAAAACAGCAGGCGGAAAGATATTACAACAAGAAAGCCAAAGTAAGATCGCTCAAAGTCGGCGACTACGTCCTCAAGGCCAAAACACTGGCATCGAAAGACCCGAATGAAGGAAAATTGGGGACCAACTGGGACGGACCATACAAAATCATAGCAGCGGCGAACAAAGGAGCGTTCCAACTAGAAACGATGGACGGAAAACCGCTCCAAAACAATTGGAACGTCGCCCACCTCAAATAGTTTTCTCGGGGAGGTTTTCAACGAGGCGGCAAGGGGATACCCGGTGGAACAGGAGCGTAGGTTCACCATATCGGCCAATCGACACGGTCCATAGGCCAATATAGTGAAGGGACTACACTAGTTATTCTCCATTGTATGAACAGGTCTCCATTGTACGTACAAAAATCTCCATTGAATGAATAGAAATCTCCATCAAATGAACAGAAATCTCCATTGAATGAACAGAAATCTCCACTGGACGAAATAAGAGTTAATCTCCATTACACGAACAAGAGTTAATCCCAATGGCCAAGGCCATCGACATCGGTTCGACCTTCCTCGAACCACGACGGATACTACTTCGACGACAGTCGAAGCAACATCCTAATAGCCAAGGCCATCGACATCGGTTCGACCTCGCTCGAACCACGACGGATACTACTTCGACGACAGTCGAAGCAACATCCTAATGGCCACAGCCATCGACATCGGTTCGACCTCGCTCGAACCACGACGGATACTACTTCGACGACAGTCGAAGCAACATCCTAATGGCCAAGGCCATCGACATCGGTTTGACCTCGCTCGAACCACGACGGATACTACTTCGACGACAGTCGAAGCAACATCCTAATGGCCAAGGCCATCAATATCGGTTCGACCTCGCTCGAACCATGACGGATACTACTTCGACGACAGTCGAAGCAACATCCTAATGGCAAGGGCCATCGACATCGATTCGACCTAGCTCGAACCACGACGGATACTACTTCGACGACAGTCGAAGCAATATCCTAATGGCCAAGGCCATCGACATCGGTTCGACCTCGCTCGAACCACGACGGATACTACTTCGACGACAGTCGAAGCAATATCCTAATGGCCAAGGCCATCGACATCGGTTCGACCTCGCTCGAACCACGACGGATACTACTTCGACGACAGTCAAAGCAACATCCTAATGGCCAAGGCCATCAACATCGGTTCGACCTCGCTCAAACCACGACGGATACTTCGACGACAGTCGAAGCAAAATCCTAATGGCCAAGGCCATCGACATCGGTTCGACCTCGCTCGAACCACGGCACGACCCTTTAACGAACGGCAAGAACAACCTCTAGAAGGCTAAGCATTACAAAAGAAAACCCAAAAAAAGGGAAGGCACCAAATGGACGAAGCAGCAAAAATAAAACTTATATTACAACAAAAATATATTTACATTCGCCCCCGCGGACGAGCTCCAATATACTATACAAGCCAAAAATATACATTGTACAAGTTTATAACTGCCCGTCACCCCCTGGGAGGTAAACGTCATTGTACCAGGAACTGGAATCGAGCCAGTTGACGTCTTCAGAAGCAGGCCCCTCCCCATCGGGAGAGTCGGGGTAATAACCACAAGCCTCACGAGTAGTGCGAGCCTCGTCTCACCGCGCCTGAACTTCCTCCTCCGTCGCCCGGCCTACGGCATGAAGCTCTCTATACACGTCGAGCTTAGCCTCCGCAAAAACCCACATCTCATGCGCACTACGACGCATACTCCGACCAGGCGAGGGGCGAGATGAGGAAGGCTGAGAAAGTCCATTGTTCTCCGCCATCCTGGCGTCGAGCTCGGCGGTCAGATCCGCCACCCTCCGCTGCAGGTCGACGTTCTCCTCCGCCACGCCACGGCTCAGCTCAAGCTCGTCATCCTTCATCCCGAGAAGCACCTCCAACTCGCTGTTACGAGCCACGGCCTTCATCAGCTCGCTATCCGCCTCCTCCAGCTCAGCTCCCCTGCGTTCCAACTGGGGCTGCCCCCGTTCAACCACCTCTCGGTGCTTAGAGCGATACTTTCGATACTTTTTTAGCATCTTTTTGTAGAGGGCCGTCCGTTTTTGCTCACGGCGTCCCCTCTCCACCTCCAAATCAAGGGTCTAAAAAGAAAAGCAGAAATAAGCACGCCTCAAATAAGTCTTACAACACGCAGAAGGGAGAAAGGAAATAAGGATTACCTGCAAAGCCATGCCGGAAACCCTTCGTGATAGCTCTGCATCCTCCACAGTACTGAGCGTCTTGCTCTCGGAGGCGGCACACAGCAGGGTAAGGGCCGAGGCAGCCTGTTCGCTGTTCAACAGTAAGTTGTAAGCCGCTGGAATCGTAATACGATGGTCGGACCCATCCACCATCATCTCCACGTGGGTAAGGCCACCCACAAACTCGTCAACATCCCCTGAGCGATGTCAGAGTCCGATTTCTCCGCTTCCTCGCCAGGTCCTTCGATGTTGGTCGATGACCCTCCCTCAACGGCATACGCAGAACTAGCAGCGGGAACGACACTCCTCTGTTGAGCTGACCTCCCAGATAGAATGGCGTCGGCCATGAATGGTCTATGCGTTGGCCGAGGCACCTCACTTCCTTCGGCTTCGGTAGCCACCCCCTTGCCCTTCTCGAGTCGCCTCCGTTTTCTTTCTAACGACTCCTCGCCATCGGAGGGTTCATCCACGGGTTGCATAGCCGGCGCCAGCGATGTCGACTCCCACATAACCATGGTCGTAGATTCGAACAGACTCGATCAGTATATCATGAGCGTCTGAGGCAACATCGGATCGCTTGAGAGCGGGGACTGGCGCCCTCTTCCTAGAAGCGCCTCGAGCTGTCGCCATAAAAATAAGTGAGCAGGGTTGCAGAATTTACAAAGCAAAAATCGGAAATCTACCTGAAGAGACTTTGGAGCCATAACGCTGCATCAAGGCAGGCCAAGTGCGGGTCTCTTCCGCGTAGGGAAGCAAGCCAGCAACCCATCCCCTAAGGTTGGCAACAGGCCGGGGCGGATGAGCCATAGATGCAATACAAAGGTTAGAGTTGTGACAGTCACGGGTAACACGGAATTTGACAAACTACAAATACTTACGTTTCGAGTTCCACCTCTCTGGGAATCCGGCAGGGTTAGAGACCACGTGCTCGGTCCTAATGAAAAAATATTTACTCCAGAACCCACGACTTGCTCGGTCGTCGGTTTTGACCACCAATCCTTTCGTACCACGGCCTCTCAAGTGCACCATGGTCCCTCTTAGATAGCAGGCACTGAACAACTGTAGGAGGTGATGGATCGTGACTTCACATCCGGCCAACTCCGCAAACGTGGTCAGCAGCCGAAGCACCTTCAGAGTGTACGACGTAAGTTGAGCCGGACACACGTTATAGAACCGGCAGAACTCCTCCGCCAAAGGGAAAAGAGGGAGGTTGTAACCAATCGAAAAGGGGTATTCATAAAAGGTACAATACCCTGGCCTGTGAACATCCACGTGATCCCTCCCCGCCGGAACCATCTCTACGTGGGCGGGTATGCCGTATTTCACGCGGAGGTCATCCAAGTGATTCTGTAATGACTCGGAAAACTCTGGAGCCGGAATGGGAGAGTCCTTACTGAAATCACTTCGAGATGAGATATGCTTTGGCAATAATGCCTCCACAGTAAGAGCACTGACGTCCTCTTCCCCCTCCACCTCTCCACCATCGGAAGGTGGCGGCACGTTCAATGGGGAAGCCGTCGGGACCCTCTCGTCGCTTCGGCGAGGTTTAGGCATGATCTCGGTGAAGAAAAAGTTGTGCACAACCCAACAAAGAAAAAGGAGAGTTTCGATCGAATGAAAATGCACCAGAATGTGAAAATATACACTGAAGGGTTGGAATGCTCTTGCAAATGACCAAAGTTTGAATCAAGTTAAACCCTTCTCCTATTTTTAGGGTTGGGTGGCGCCAGAATCGAAGAGGCAGACGTCGAATCGGCACGGGAAACCAGGCGCCAAAAGCTTCTGATTCCCTGCCTCGAGAATACGCGCAATGATGACGCATACGAATGCTGACGTCACACGGGGAAAGGCGTTCCGCTTTGACGCTCTGACAGTCATGATTACTATCTCCTGCCTGTCACGTCACAACTCTTTGACAAAGTCAAACTCTCCCAGAACGGAGGTACCGATTCCGCCCATCGAGGACGCATTCGCTGCGACCCCGACGAGCGGAGGGACTAACTGTATGGGGTCGAATTTGACCGACCACGTCCCTAAGCCAGCACGACCGACCAAATATATGTGAGTCCGGCTAGAAGGACGACTTAGGAATAATAAGAGGGACGACTTCATGATCATGTTGGCCCCTCTATAGCATGTACTTTATTTCTGTCTTTTAATATTTAAGTAAGGCTCCTCTATTATATAAAGGGGGGGGTCTGAGCCTTGTAAGAGGGAGAGGATTTTTCGCTATTGGAAATACAATCTCTCTAACATTATCTCTCTCTGATCTCTCGAAGATTATCACTCTCTCTCTCTCTCATTTGTATTATCGCTATCTGAACCAATAGCCAAGATCATCCTAGGGTTTATTATCTTCGATTACGATTTACTCATTCATCTATATTGATTGATTTGCTTAAAAAGTGGTAAACAACTTTTGAGTCAAATAATCTTTGTTCCAAGATTTCTGCATTGCTAACTTGGGAACACTTCTCCCACCTTGTAACTTGTATTTGATTTATGAAAAGTACTGAACTGAGAAATAACAATTTTTGGAGACCGAACAAATTTCATATATTGTCATTTTCTTGTAATTCACAATAACTTTACAAAGCAATCAAACAACCAAGCAATAGAACAGACTCTTTTTTAACAACTTCATTTGCCGGGGACGAAGTTTGTGGCATATGCCCAAGCATTATTGTTAACGGGGTCGGTAAGATGGTCAGCAAGGTTCTCCAATGGACCCTTCCCAGTGACGATAGCTTGAACAAAGAATCCAAACATGGAGAACATAGCAAGTCTGCCATTCTTGATTTCCTTTACTTTAAGCTCAGCAAAAGCTTCCGGGTCATCTGCAAGGCCCAATGGGTCGAAACTACCACCGGGGTAAAGTGGGTCAACAACCTCACCAAGAGGCCCACCAGCAACACGGTAACCCTCAACGGCTCCCATCAACACAACTTGGCAAGCCCAAATGGCCAAGATGCTTTGTGCGTGGACCAAACTTGGGTTGCCCAAGTAGTCAAGTCCACCCTCGCTGAAAATCTGCGATCCAGCTTTGAACCATACAGCTTCACCAAACTTGACACCGTTACGGGCCAAGAGCTCAGGAAAGACACAACCAAGAGCTCCAAGCATGGCCCATCTGCAGTGGATAACCTCTAGCTCACGGTTCTTGGCAAAAGTTTCCGGATCGGCTGAAAGTCCAGCAGTATCCCAACCGTAATCACCAGGAAATTCACCAGTCAAGTAACTTGGGGATTCACCAGAGAATGGGCCCAAATACTTGACACGGTCAGGACCGTACCATGGGCTACTCGAGGAGACAGGCTTAGCTTTGGTAACAGTCTTCCTCATGGTGACTTTTCCATTTCCAGTGATTTCAGAGGAAGATGGTGAGAGCTTTACTGCCTTTCCGGCAAAAGAAGGGGAAGAGAGAGACATTGTAGCAGCTGCCGTTGTTGAAGGAAGATAAGAAAGTACGTAGTCTTGACTGCAGCTACTACAGAGAAAGAAGAGTTGATTTGTTGCTTGAGTTTCATATGCCTTGCACCAAGTGTATATAAATTATTCAGAAGGACCAAAGTCCTTATCCTAGAATATCGTTATCTGTTTTCTGATTGGTGGATGACAAGTTTAACTTGGTTGTCCATTTGACAAAGTTCAGCACCATTAAACATGTCTAGATTTTTTCAGATACATTTTGTCTAAAAAATCTAACCCAATACAGATTTCATCTGTTACCGCCAATATTAAGTTGCCACGTTTCATAGTGGATTATTGCGAAATCCAGTTGACCAAGAGCGCATATATTAGAGCAACTCATGGCCATGCATGCAGTCGTTCACACACTTCTGTTTGGCTGGCTATAAAATAATAGGACCATTACTTGTATGAGTGGTGTATATACTAATATACCTCTTCATGAAACAAAATAAAAATAAATAAAATAAAAAACTTGAAATTTAGATAATGCAAGTCCAAGTGTCCCAACAGCTTAGCTCCCATGGTTAACTTGGGTTTGTTGACCAAAAATATAACACTACAAGAAAAATGACTTCTAGAGACGAGAAAAATGGTCCCTAAAAGTCTAATTCTGGTCCCAGAATATATATAGCGACCAGGTAAAACTGGTCGTCACCGTTTGCTAGATCCTCTGTCGTTAAAGGCTATTAACGATGGGTTTGACATCTGGTCCCTAGATATGTTTGGCGACCAGACTAATACTGGTCCTTGAAAGGTATTAACGACTAGTTGTAATATGGTCCTTAAATAATCACTACTAGAAATCCGGAAAAAAACGACCACAAAAAGCGACCACTGTTGGTCGCTTATTGGCCAAAAAGCGACCAAACGTGCCTGGTCGATATTAAGCTGGTTCCTTTACCTTAGGGACCAAAGTTGGTCGCTAATTAGCGACCAACTTTGGTCTCTCAAGTCAAAGGACCAAATATTCCGGTAAAGACACTGGCGACCAACTTTGGTCGCTATATTATTTTAATATTATAAATTTTGCGACCAAAGTTGGTCTCATTTGTGTAAATTTTGTTTTTTTATTTATTATTAATTATAAAGTAGCGACCAACTTTGGTCTGTATATGAAATATTATATTTTAAAATCTGAAAAATGGCGACCAATGTTGGTCGCTATACTATAAATTTTTTAATTATTTTTTTAAATAAGCGACCAAAGTTGGTCGCTAAATACATGAATTAATTTTTTTATTTATTAATAAGCGACCAACCCTGGTCGCCATATTTCCAGAAATTATTATTTTTCTGGTAAATAGCGACCAATCTTGGTCGCTACTTGGGAAATCTGGGTTAAATAGCGACCAACCTTGGTCGCTATTTCACAAAAAATTATTTTTTTTAATAGAAATGCGACCAAATAGCGACCAAAGTTGGTTGCTTTTCTTGGTATATTGCTGGCAGGAACTGCCTCTTTTGGCAGCTACACCACCTGCCAGCTTACCAAAATTCCTAAATAGGCAAATATGCCAATAACAGCAACAACAAGCAACAACAACAACAACAACAACAATTATAACGAACAAAGTATAAAGTTCAATAGAACTTTATACTTTAAGCTAATTAGCAAACTAATAAGTTAAATGTTATTACAGAACCATTCGAAAACCAATTGTATTTGTCTAGCATAAACTAATAAGTTCAAAGATTGTTCTCTACATCATTATCATCACCGTCCGATGAACTTTCTTCACCATGACGGTATCTAGAATGGGCTATTTGTCGATGATGGGAAGAATGACCACGGGGAGGACGGGAGAAATGAGCATGGGGAAGGCGAGCCTCTGGCGATGACTCATGAGACCGGGGAATTGGAAAATTGCCAGAAGCTAGGAGAGTTTTGATCTGCTCTTGCATGCCCTTGCACTGAGCTTGCATGCCAGAGTACTGCATATCTCTAAGCCGTTCTCTCTCCTTAGCGGCTTCTAGCTCGGATGTGAGCTTTGTCACAGTCTCTCGCATAGAGGAGAGGCTCTCCCCATCAAGTTACTCGGCTTGGGAGGAAGTCCCTATTCCTTGAATTTCACACTTATAGCGATGGAATTTCTTATTAGGAAGCCCGTATACCTTCCCCCCTTTTGGACCGCCAGCAGCCTGCGTCCACATTCTCTCAGCATCCTCATCCGATAGTTGGATTGGCACGCCGGACTCATTAGGTGGCTGACTGCGTATGAATTGCTCCACTTCAGCTGTGAAGCGACCCTATAAGAAAAATAATATGTGAATTACTATTTCCAAATTTATATAAAAGTAAATCAAAATTCTTAATGAAAAGTGAAAACGTACATGTACAGTCGAGGCTCGGCCCTCGACCCACCTTTCTTGGTCCGTCTCTTTCTTCTTCTTCTTCTTCATAATATGAGTCTCCTTGAAGAGCTCATCTTGATTCATCGGATGCCCCAACTTTTTTTTCTGAAAACTCATAAATTTTAGTTAATAAACAAAATACATATACTAAGAAAATTAAAATAAACTAAGCAATTACGTACCATTCTTCGTTTTATCGTCCCTAGGCTGACCGTACCTCCAGTGTGCAAGGATCCTCCCTTCTCAGATGCCCGGGCTTTCTTTCCTTTTTCGCTCTTCTCTAAGAACTCTGCTGTAAGCCATTGCATTTGCAAATCATCCCATAAATCCTGAAGCATCCAGCCAGGCTTCTGGTTCAACTGCCTAGCTTTGGAGAAACAATGGGACAACCGCTTTCGAGCTTTGAGATGGAAGTTTGCAGCCACTTCCGCGCTATAGCGGTGTTCCCATACACACTTGATCTGTATTTCAAAAGTCAAGTATTATATGGAAATATCATATTTAGATGGAAATATCATAAAAGCTATATTCGATATATTATACTTAGCTTTTATTAGCTAATAATTATTCAAAAGTTAAGTTCATTAACTGCTTATAATATAATATTAGCTAAAAGCTAATAAATGATTATACTGCTTAAAAGAATATTTATACCTTAAATTGATTGAAGATTGCCTCCTTGAGAGCGAATGGGAATTCACTCCAAGTCGCATAAGGACCATCATAAAGCTTTCTGGTGGCTTTGGTGATGATCCTTGTAGTAACATTACCAGGGATGAAACTGCAATTTTATTTAAAAAAACACATTAGTATCTTAGTAAAACTGTACTAGACAAAAAAAGTTAAAATAACAAATAACTCTTACCCGTCACCCTCAGGGACTATGATGATCCTGCCATATTCATCATAATGCACCTCCTCGTCATTAGTAGCATCATTGTCCGAAGCATGTACATCAGAGGCATGTGTGGAAGGTGTAGGGGGGTCAGAGCTAGTATCTCGCAGGCGAAGGCCTGCAATAGATGGAGTCCCAGATGAAGATGGCTGCGAGCCCTGTGAGTGCGACACAGCTGTATGGGTCGCAAGTGGATGAGACACAGATAGCTGTGACCCGAGTGGCTGTGACACGGATGGCTGTGATCCATGTGGATGTGACATGGATCGATGCGATCCATGAGCTGCTGATGGATGCGATCTATGTGGATGTGAGACAGGTGGACTGTATGTAGGTCGTACAGTCCTATGGCCCTGTGAAGAAAGACCTGGCGTCTGCACGAAGGTGTAGGGATGGACATGCGCTGGCAGCTCAGAATAGCCCTGGGGTGGAGGCGCAGGCACAGGCATCTGTGAAGAGGCAGGAACGGATTGAGTAGTACCTTCTACCCTCCTCTTTTGTTTCCTAGGCTTTTCTCTACCCCGAGAACCAGTAGGATCACTGTTACCTCGATCCTTGCCTGACATCTGCATGACATAATACAAAGTTAGATTGAAACATATAAAGAAACTAGCTATAACATGAGTTATTAAAGAAACCAACTTTTTTAAATCTGATCGACGTATAGTTCCTCGTCCGAGAATTCTTCTTCCTCACTAGTTTGAGCTTCATCAGTTGATTCTTCTTCCTCGTTTTCTATAATTCTTACTTCATCCATATCAACTTCTTCCAATATGTGTTCAGGATGTTCCAAATCATTTTCTAAAACTTCGTCCACTATTTGGTGAACACTGGAGATATCGTTTTGATATGCAACATCTAACACATTCTCGACTTCTACCCTACCCACAGGCTTAGTTTTTATTACAACCCACCAATCAGCCTTATTCCGCCGCAATGGATAAGGAGCATAATACACTTGCCTAACATTATGTGCAATTATGAAAGGATCATAGCGATCATACTCCCTCGTATGATTAACCTCAATTATGTTGTATTGATTGTGTACTCTTGTACCTCTTGTTGGATGTGGGTCAAACCACTTGCATCTAAAGAGTATCAATTTCTTATTTGGCCAACCTGTATATTCTAGTTCTATTATTTCTTTGAGCACACCATAATAATCAATANATATATAGACACACACGCACGCTTCGTAGTACTATTCATCCCTTGTATTACAAAAGTGTTAACGGCTAACATTTATATTCTTTATTTACTAAATACAAAAGTGATTTTTAATTTTGACCTTTGTTGACCTAAATAGCGACCAACTTTGGTCGCTAAACATACATAATTTTAAATTAGCGACCCAAGTTGGACGCTAAACTTGAATCAAATTTATTTATCTTTTTTATTATATTTAAAATATTAACCGGGTCCCAGCTTAGCGATCAAAGTTGGTCTATACTCTACTGAGCAACCAACATTGGTCGCTAAAGTTGAATTATATTTATTTATATTTTATAATTTTTTTTAAACAAAATTATAATTATTAAAATTTTATAACTGGGTCCCAAATTAGCGACCAAAGTTGGTCTCAACCTGTTTTCTCTTTATATAGCGACCAACCTTGGTCGCTAATTTTAAATTTTATTTATTTATATTTTGTTATTTTTTAAAAATAATGTTATAATTATTAAAATTTAATAAGTGGGTCCGAGGAAGCGACCAACATTGGTCGCTAATCTGAGTAATTCTTTGACCAAGCAAGTCTGACCAGTCCGGTCAACAGTTTGACAAAATTTTCGACCAAGTTGCGACCAACGTTGGT